ATTGATTTGAAGTTTGAAATGTCTACTTATGTAAACAGAAACCAATTGCCTGTTATTTTCCTAGAGCACTCAGATGTGTCAGAACTAGTTGGAACTTGGAAGATTAAAAGAAATGTTGTCACTGTGCTTAGTTTCTTGACCTCGGCACTAGATGGAGGTGAGTGGTCAGCTTCACTCCCCTCCTGCTTTACCCACAATAGAGATTGCAGAACTGATTTATGACATCAACTTCCACTCTTGAGCGAGATTAAAAATGGGAATATTCAGAGGACCCAGTATGAGTGTACTCAGTGTCAGTGTGAAGGAAGAAATAACAGGCAGTACGTACGTTTGGTGTTGAGCTACCAGACATGCCAGATACACAAGTATAGCTTTGGTTGGCAGCATTACATTCATAACATCCGCCTGTATAGATGTACCAGCAGTAAATTTAGAAACCTATAAAAGCGCTGTCAGAATACAGCATCAGATGCTATTTGCTTGATTTAATTAATTGATAACCTGATGTATTTTGACATTGAAATATCATCAGGCTGTTTACTCAGAATACGCTTGAAAGCTGTTCAAGGTTCTGGTATGTTTCTGAGAACAGTGATAGTAAATTTTAGTGACAATGTATTCCATCTAGGTGATCTGCTAGATTAAATTTATGAGGTCAGAATTCTTGTACTCAAGATCATCTGAATTCAGTGCAGATATTTTTACATGACTTTCCCTTGCCTGTTGGCAGTGATAGAACACAGTATATGCAATGGATATCGGACAACTACCTTTGTCTGGGACCCAATGAAGGTGTTCGTCCCCTCTGTCAGTTAATCAAGACCATTTTGAAATTTTCTACACTTGAGAAGGACAGAGCATATGGCACAGATGGGAGAGATGAGAACTACATATAAATTTTTTGCCAGAAGACCCAAGGTGAAGTAAACCACTTGGATGACTGAGGCATGGATAGAAGAATAATATTACAGTGAATCTTAAAGAAATATAGTGGGAAGGCATGGACTGGACTGATTTGGCTGAGGACAGGTTCCAGTGACAGACTCCTGTGGAAACAGCAATGAACATTTGGGTTCCATAAAATGTGGGTAATCTCTTGAGTAGCTTAGTGACTCTTAGATTCTCAAGGACTCTGCTTAATGAAAACAGATATTGGCAGCATTCTGGAAGAAACCTGGAGCCCTTAAGTACTGAAATTATATGCCAACCATTGACCCAGCCCAAGAACAAGTGTTAGTTGGAACTTGGAAATTTTGGTTCATGGAATGCTGTATATAAAGTTTAAAGTGTGTTACTTTTTGTGTTCTTGTTTGCTTAAAGACATGTCCATAATATAATACACATATATTTGACCGTGTCTTACAGCAGAGAGTGCAGCATTGTGCATTTAGCATATGTGGTGTTGTTATGATACTCGTAACCTGAACAGTAAGTTCATGGATAGCCATCATGACCTACGTGCAGCACACAGTGAGTTTACTAAAGCTCTAGAAGCAAGAGTATATGATCCTGAAATGATGGATCAGTGTAGAAAACGCAACCTATCAAATGAAAATAGAAATAACATTATGCTTTTGAAATAGTAAAACTTATTGAAATGTAATGAGCTGGCACTCCAAGATTTTGTCCAAATTCTAACAGAATGGAAAATTGGTTATTGAGCTTGTAAAAATCAGAACCTTTAGAACATTATTGCTGATCAGTTCTTCTGATATTAAATTTCTTGCTGCAGTTAAATCCCAGTGTGAGGTTTTGCCGAGGGTGCGTGGATTTGAACTCTGAATTGAGGAAGACCTTCATTGGCAGAAAATATGTACTACTCAGACTGTGGACTTCAGATCATTAGAAATAAACAAAATCTTAAACTGCCACACACAGAATGGCTGTTCCTCTATATCTTCTTCAGAGCACTGATTACTTTCAGAAGAATAAGGTATAGCACCAATAGTTTTAGCCAGTAAGTTATGTGTCTTTTACTAAGTTTAAAGCTTTTAAATGATTGAGAGATTATTTAAAACTTTTATTTTGGACGTAATTCAGCGTTCAAGTTTATTAGAAACACTACATTTCAGAGGTGTGTTGTGCTTCCATCTTGACATGAGCAGGGTAGAAAAGAAAATACAGTTTGTTGGGTTCCCTGGTGGAGCTACTGTCAAACTATGGACACCAACGGTCTATAGAGATCAAGGACCTTATACAGCTATATGAATGGCGGAAAGGTGAATACGTTGGAAGGATTAAATTTGAGTTTAGCGATATGTGCATTCTCCTGTACCATCCCTAGGTGGATGTGGGGCCCTTAATATTTTATATAGGTACAAAGCGAAGTTCAGTGACAGCAACATGTAGATCTAATTTTCTGTAGCTAATATTTGCATAGGTCCCAGTTTCACTGCCACGCTTATCGTTTTGTTCTGTAGTAAATACCCGTATGATAAACTTGCGAGATCATATTTGTCTGTTAATTTTAACAGAAACAGAATCAGCCATAAGCAACGAAATTGTTTGTTTAAACTGTTGCATATTTATCTTCCTCAGCATTGTAACAATCCATCAGTTGAATAGTTCTATCGGTAGTCATAACACTTTGCCCTATCACAAAGTTTTCCAGGGTAAATGTCAGTGTTTTTATAATTTGTATCATATGTGGTCATTGTCTTTTCTTTGCTCGTGACCTTTACTTACAGCATGAGTCTCTGTCGCTGCTGGTCACGGTTGTGTCATGCACATAGTTTGTCACTGCACCCAACCCTTACCAAGATAGCTTTCTGATTTAATATAATATTAAAATAACAAAAGACTGCACAATCCATCAGTTGAATAGTTCTATCGGTAGTCATAACACTTTGCCCTATCACAAAATTTTCCAGGGTAAATGTCAGTGTTTTTATAATTTGTATCGTATGTGGTCATCTTCTTTTCTCTGCTCCTGACCTTTACTTACAGCATGTGTCTCTGTCGCTGCTGGTCACAGTTGTGACATGCACACATTTTATCACTGCACCCGACCCTTACCGAGATAGCTTTCTGATTTAATATAACATTAAAATAACAAAAGACTGCACTAATTCGCAGCACTGTCTGATATGATTCACTGTCAAGAGTCTACGTACACCTGCCATGCATTTAACAATACAGTCACATTGATATGGTTTATTTTCGTTTCTTAGTTTAACCATGTTTTGAAGTGGATAGGTTATAGTAACTGCAATTTCATTGAAGTACTGTTTGTTTGAGGGGACCATAAAGAACGTATGTTAGTGCAGATTCAAACCTGATGGTTCCCATTATGGAGTTGGAGTGTTAATCACTGAACTCAACAGTTTAGCAAATTTTTTTTTATATTCTAAATTAAAAGAAGTGTCTCGTTAGTTTGTGAGGACTGATCTCTAACCATGCGTGAATATTTTAAATGTTTTCTTCATTCTGCACATTCCTCTTACATTGTTTCTTTTCATCACAGTCTTCCGTGGTGAACCGTGCAATGGTTCTCCGTGAAGTTCCTTGGAGCTGTTCCTCCTCCTTTCCACTTAAAGTCTTAGCTGACGTCAGGTCAGCTGACCTTGTCCCCCCCCCCTCCTGGACGCAGTGCGAGGTTTCCTGCTTACTAAGAACGAATGTCTCTCTCTCTCTCTCCCTGTTGACTTCGGAAAGGTAACATCGCTGTGTCCAAATTTAGTTTTGTTATGTTGAATTGATCTTGTGAAATTCGGTTTCGGCCCGTAGCAGTGTCTGAAGGGGGAAGAGTGCCCTCACGACGTGATCAAGGCTGGATCAAGTCGTGAGGTAAAACTTTGTGTTGTAATTCAGGAAACGCAAGTAAGTGACTTACTGTTGTAGATGGTTTCCTTTCAATTATGAACGCCGTGTGGCGTAAGATAATTTGGTTTTGTTTTGGGTTGTGTTGAACAGCAGATCGCCCCTCAGGCGTGTTGTAACCTGTTTATGTTTCCTTGTGCCTTCAAGGCTTGCGTAAGTACATGTTTGTACTGGAGAAGTGGAATGACACCATGAGGCGAGCCTGACTTGAGTTCTGTGCGGCTAGGCACAGTGTAGCTCTGTATTAATTACTTATCACTTGTTCTGACCAGTCCCTGCCCATCAGGCAGAGTATACCTGTATGCTTATGTTATCAATATATATTTATTTATATGTTTGGAAACGCCAGTTGTATTTATGTATACTTATGCTGTGTGATCCCTACCAGTTCGGACTAGCCGATCCGTCCAGCTTGGCCCATAGTGCCGACAGCGGTTTTCCTCTCCCGAGATCCCCTACTCGACCTTCGGGAGGCATAGTACATCACGTACAAGCAGGTCGTTTCTTATGAGCCTGTCCCTTACCCATTTGAGCAGGGGTTCACGGGTTTGAGTGGGTAGAAGAACTGGGTTCTTTACCCACAGGGTCAAGGGACACGGCTCAGTGGATAAGTGTTTATTCTATCCTACATACACTCTTCTACATGATGTTCCAGCCTCACATGGCCATCATCATGTATAGTTACTCGTAACTGAAATTGTTGCGCTGTCACTTCAATTTAGTGGAGTGTGGAACGCATTATTACTTGCAATAATAATTCCCTAAAATCCATAAAATTATGGTACCCGCTGATTGCACAAACTGATGCTGTGATCCACAACTTTTTGACATACATCTCTGTAGGAACTTGTTAATGTGGTAATTAATGAGTAAATTTCTGATTGCAGCAGTCTGTGCAAATTTTTCTTTGTCAGGTTGTCCTGTGTAATTCACTATCAGTGGAGGTACAGCTCCATACATACTTCACCTTGGCACTAGATGAAGGTGAGTGGTCAGGTTCATGCACAGTCTGCTTTACCTCCTGGCATCCACCTGATGAACGATCTCCAGAGTCAGTCTGGATGCTGTGGAGGAGATAACACTTTCTTGCCCCTGCTTGACAGTGATTCCCAATTCCTCAGCCTTCCAGCCCATAACCTAATTGTAAAAACTCATTGGTGAATTCTGTACTTCATTGCATGAATAATGGAATTCACATCTAAAGGCAAAACACCTGAGTAAGCACAGTCTGCGATCACTTTCATACAGATCAGAAGGTTTGTTGACTACATAAGTGACTCCTGATAATACTGGAGAATCATGCAATGATCGCCACATAGAACATCCACTGTAATCATGGTGTTCCCTGTTCTGTGAACTCTATAGTATGTTAGTGGTTCATAGAAAATGTCTTTTGTTGGTTATTTAGTATGAAATAAAATGGGAATAAGCTCATGTAATATGAAATGGAAAGGATAATAGAAGAAATGGATATGACCTCTTTTAGTCCAACACTTGTCTGAAAAGACCAAATGAAAGTGTACAAATTTGTCAGGATGGTCTCTTTCAGGCTCAGATTCAAATCACAGGCTGTGGGCTGCACACCCAGGGTTCCATTTCTGGCAGGGTGAAAGAGACCATTCTGTACTCCACAGCATCCAGACCAGCTATGGGATCCAGCCAGCCTGCTATCCAAAGGGTGCAGGGGATTCTTTCACTGCTGTTAAAGTGGCTGGGACATGAAGCTGACCACTCACCTCCATCTACTGCTGAGATCAATAATGGTGGAGCCATACCTCCACTTCCCCACATCTTAAATGCATAGTGCTTAATTATAAAACACAACTTTACCTTTAGTACCTAACTTAAGTCAGTAAAAAAGTGAACATGAACTGGCTAAGGAAATAAAAGGGCAGTAACCAGAGGACTGCTCCAGAGAAATTTGGAAACAAGATACAAATCAGCAAATTTTGTTCAGTCTGTTAATTTTCTGTTTTTGCAGAATGTTGTGGCAAGATGAAAATGATTTATTGTGGCCATTACATCAAATTTAACTAATTGCACGCAGCAGACTGGTGGAGCACTGGGATTCTCACATGTGAGCTCTTAACAGGGAATCATCCTTTCAGTGTTGATGGGAAAAGAATATACGAGGAGCGTCTATGATGGTGAGTTACTAGTTTTTTGTAAGGGGATGTGACCCACATTTGCCTTTACCACAAAATGTCCTTTACACAGAGTTCTATAAACATGATTTATGGCTGCTCCAGACTATTTAATAGTGATGAAATAAATGCATATATCTGGTAGATGTAGAGACTCAACTATGGGAAAGAAACAGAATGCACAGAGATATTTCTTCATAGTCACAGACAAATACGAAATAAAGTCTGAGCTAGGAATTAGCTGATCGCCCATATCTTTTAGTTAGGAGAGAAGGAAACAGAGCCCAAAGCTGGACAGTAATGTGCACATTAACAGTTGTGATGTGACACGGAGTCTCTTCGTGTCTTTGTAATGCACAATTCTGACAGATGCATATGGTCAGATAAAGTCTCTGCATTTGACCATTATTGTAGCCAAAGATTTATTTTTATCTAGAGTCCAAACATAGTGTTGCAGAGGGGACCTCAGGTTTTTCTTTTTAATGTTGGCTTCATTTTATGTGCCATTTTTACCATTCTGTATTCCTGTAGCTCTTCTTCCTCCCTGGCTCGCTTCACAAGCTCATGCACCTACCTCATTATCCACATTTTCACTATATGATTACTGTGCTGCATTTGCCACATCAGTTTGTCTGCATCACAGCAATTCTAGGGCTATATATTTCATAAATATTAACATCCATTACTTTTATGAAACTCCTGTCTTACCATCAGGCTCTTTTCTATCTCTGGGGTGCTGTCTCACAGCTTCCACTTTATTTGTCCCTTCAGGGGACAGGCTGAGTATACCCTTCTCACTGCCTGTATGTGTAAGTGCAGGTGCCGAGCCCAGACAGTCATGTATGCCCAGGTGCCCAGATGGCCTAGACACACAACCTGTTGTATGACCAACAGTCAAGCTGTGCCATTCTGCCATGTTACCACTGACTGAGAGCTGCATTATAATCAAACACAAGTCCCCAGGAGCCATGTAGACCTGTGTAGAGGGAGCTAGGGGACTAAAGTCACAACTTGCCACTGATAAGGTTTTAATTAAACAAGTTTCTCTCATCATTTGGTACATCTCTTGTGTAACTTACAAGTTAAGGTTGTCCCCTTGGTTTTAAATAAAGAGTTCCTAACACAGAAAATATTGTTTCAATCCCAGCAGGAGAGACATGTGGCTTGAGTGGGAGAGTACGAATGGTAGATTGTTCACAATCCCCTCCTTTATAATGCTAATCATAATAAGGGATTACTGAGTTTGTGGACTTTGTCAGTGTTCCTGTATTCTAAAGAAGAGAGTTTCAGAAAATGGATCCATTTCCAGTCGCATGTAAAAGTGTGGGACTCGCCCATTCTGTTGGTTCCAGTGAAGAATTCTGGATTTGGATACCTTTGTAAACAATAATTATGAATGGATAATTTAATGCACTTTTGTGATGGTAAAATTAAAACCAAAATTATCTTTTACAGCTGTAACATTACGGCAAAACCCTGCATCCCAAATGGTATATTACCTGAGGTGTCAGATTTTATATTAAAATTGCTGGTGAGGGATCCAGAGAAACGTTTGGGTGGAGGAGAGAGAGGTGCAGAAAATGTAAAAAGGCACCCATTCTTCAGAGTAAGTTTTCCCCTTGACATGCTTGTGTTCTTTTAAAAGTGTGTTCGAACCTTGTCTTATACATGGTAATATGTGCTAAGAAAATCAAGAGAACTTTAATATTTTAATTATGCTCCTGTGGGTAGAAGCTGTATTCTTTCATCAGTGTTTGGAGGAATATGCTGTCTCCATCCATCCTGAAAATGGAGTTTTTGAGAACATTGGAAGTAATTTATATGCTTTCACCATATCACGACCCAGGAGATTATAATCTAACCTCTTACTGCCATAAAACCTCAAGTTTTATATGAAATATGACGTGTATCTCGTGGAACTAAATTCACTCTGTCATGTGACTAACGTGTTCCCCTATACAAAAATATAGCAGTATTGTCAATGTTGATACATACCTTTTTTCTCATTTACAGAATATTCTGTTTACTGATGATTCAGAGGAAGCTGGCATTAAGATTGTTGACTTCAGATTTGCGGGACTGAAACAAGATAATCAGAGGATGCCCACACCATGCTTTACTTTGCAGTATGCTGCACCTGAAGTGCTTGAAGAGGCATTCAGCAATGGCAGAGATGGCTATGATGAAAATTGTGACCTGTGGAGCCTGGGCGTGATCCTGGTGAGTGCATTTATAGTATTCCTGATAGAGTAAAAATGCATTAAACAGGTGAGATAAGAAAAACACTTAGAAGAGAAAGAGAAATTTAGAACATGACTTCAGAATGCCATATGTAACAATTTTGGGTTGCTCTCAATGTTATAACAAGAAGTGCATTTTAAGATGTCCAGTCACATCCATGCAGTGCCACAGGGGCATAGGGGCATACTTGTCACGGCCTTATTACATTGGGAACAGTATTTGCAGAAATTAAAAATCTGTGTATATGCATTCTTTTAACACTTTGAGTCCATTGATATTTAAATTAAACTCCCTCTACTGAAGGGTTTTATGTATCATTAAGCAATTCATAACTTCTCTAATTCTTTATATAAAAACCTGAAATTTGGGCACACAAAAATATAATCTTTCCTCAGGTGCCTTGCAAACAAATAGACTTGTTATGGTTGTAAATCCTGAGGCTGCTACAGCATAATAAGTGTCCACAAAAGAAGACAAAATATTTTAATATATTTTAAAAACTGCAGACTTTTCATCAGCTGGGCTAAATTCACTTAACACTCCCAACAATTTATCTTCAAGTTGCAATTTTCAAAGCACTTTCCTAAACAGAGCCCCACAATACAGAGGCATAATCTTCTTGTAGCTTTTCCTGTTTGGTGCTTGCCCATGTCCTCACACACTTTGCAGGTTCACTGAGGTTGACCCACTCATGTGTGTTGCTGAAAGTCTGTACAGAAAATTATATTTTCTGTTAAGTCTGCCTGCAGAAGCACTCCTTGCCCATTCCCAAATATCTTGCCATGCACCACTGAGGCCTTCAGCAACCATCTTGCAGAACAGCTTTAAAAGGATGTTTTTTCTGTTTCTATTGTGCAGTGTGTGGGCATTTACAATGCACAGATAAGAGATGAAACAGAACCTTCTTCTGCCTCGTTGCTGATTCTGTCTGGAGTGAGCAATATGAACATGCTAATATATGATCAGACTTGTTGACACCAATTCTGTATTTATGTAGTCCATAGGTCCATAACTGCTGCAGGTTTTGCTTATAGGTGCTGTCACCTGGGTGGCTAAGGGCAATACCAAAAATGTGAATGTTTCTGGTGTCTTTCCATTTTATAGCCAAGGGGAGTTGTCTTTCGGAAGCAGGTGCTTCCCATACCTTCAGTTTTTTTAATGCATGTTTAGGTATCATTTTACTATTGGGCATTACTGTGTCCATAGATATGTCCACGGATGACCAGAAAGCTTGGGGCTAGGAAACCATCCATATACACAGTATGCCCCTTGTTCATCACTTGTACACAGAGCCTCTTTCCAACACTGAATGTAGTACTGTGATCGGAATTAGTAAGATGTGTGCCACCAGAAATTTCAGTATTATGTTCATAGCCATTATTTGCTTCACATAGCTGAAAGATCTTGATTTCATACTTACCGTCTTCTCCTTTCTGTACACCTGGAAGAATATGTACCCTTGAAATGCATAAATTGCCTTATTGATGGTGAGTTCTCTCTCAGGTATGTATTTACTTACTCATGGAGCTGAGCCCTTCTTGAGGAGCTGCCAATTCTGCAGCTACTCAAGAATTTTCCAGCATTTATGGATCCCGAAATTTCATTACCATGTTCACAAGAGCTCTCCACTGTTCCCTATCCTGAGCCAGATCAGTCTAATCCATACCATCCCATCCTGTCTCTCTAAGATCCATTTTAATATTGTCCACCCACTTACACCTTGGTCTTTCCAGTGGTCTCTTTCCGTCTGGCTTTCCCACCAATATCCTATACCCATTCCTTGTCTCCCCCATTCGTGCCCACCTCATCCCTCCTTGACCTGATCAATCTAATTATTCTTGGAGAAGAGTACAAGTTATGAAGCTCCTCAGGCATGTATACTTCTCAAAATTTTCGAATTTAAGCCATGTAATATGGGGCAGATTTTGAATAAGGGGTAATAACTCGCTTATCCCCTGGGAATTTGTGTGTCATTATTGTTTGACATGCAGCGTAGCCAAATAATAAAGTCTTATGAGCCATACCAACTGATGCTGTATAGTTAGCTTGCATCATTGGTCTTTTGCTCCAGTACTCATGCACTGACAACTGACACAACAGGCATGTGAATGGCAACTGCACAAAGCATTTTGAGGTCCTGTAACATGACAGGTTTTCCACTGCAAATATAGGCTTCTTTCCAAAGGACCCTCATGCTCCTCCTCGTTTGTCTGTTGCACTGTGTACAAGTTGGTTTTATCCAGCACGATTTTGAAAATTTCATTAGCAAAACTGATTCTGAAAATTTGTATTGGTGAGCAGTCCTCTGTAATGGAAGAAATACACTTGTCCCTGCCAAGTGAGAAAATGCAGGTCTCTGTTGCAATTTTGTCACTTCATCCTAATTCAGAATCAGAGCCTGGTTGTAAGATTTGAGGCTTTCACGGCGGTGACTATGAAGAAAGCAGTCTTCTGGGATTTGGCACCGTGTATATGTGGTGTTAACCGACGTTTCGGAGGAACGTATCGCCCCCATCTTCAGGGTTGAAGAAAAAGTATAAGTAAATCTGCAAGCGACAACACCGTGAGACACGGTAAAGCAGATACGTTCCTCCGAAACATCGGTTAACACCACATATACACGGTGCCAAATCCCAGAAGACTGCTTTCTTCAGAGCCTGGTTGTTTAGGTTTTGCTGCCAGTGTTCTTTTATGACTCGTGCCTGTCTCCAGCTTAGCAGAAATTTCGTCTTCACTGCTAATGCTACTGCTGCCACTAAAACAGAAGTGTTCTGAGAAATTTCATTACATTCCTCTGAATTTGAACCATTTCTAATTTCTGATATTGCCTGCCCTGAGGGACGTCTTGGCCACGAAGAATAACCTGCACTTGTAACATGCTGATTATTCCATCTTGCTCAGACCCCACTAAGAATTGCAATGAGCTTATGTTAGGTCTCTCAACTCTTAAATTCTATTCTCATAACCATAAAGAGGCTAGTGTTTGTGTCTTCACCTTGGACTCAGTATTTGAGGCAATGAAGATGGCTCCTTGCTTATGAAAGAATACTGAACACATGCAGATAGCACTGAAGTTAGTTCAGTGTTTGGTTCAAGATGGCAGAGCCTGATTTTATGAAGAAGTCATGAAACCTGCTGGTACACACCAAAACTAGGAGCTTGGAGCTACTGCCAAGTGAAAAGCTCGTGTCAGTAATGTAGGTAATCCTTTTTCTGTGACTTTTTAATAATTGTGTTAATAGTAGTACTGTCTCAGTCTCCGACTACAATGGACATTGTCGCAAACATGAGAAATCTTCATCTGCGCAGACCACTTCTGCCATCTGTTCGGATCACTTGTATTATCTGTACGATCTATACCAATCACACAACGGCACATGATATGACGTAAAATATTTGAATCATTCAAATGATTCAAAGCGAATTCAGGAATTTCATGAAATTGTATAACAGAGCAGCAAATTTGTTCGACAAACAGCTTATACATGTGATTATGGCTAGTGAGGCCGAAAAATGTAGTGTGGTATAATAATTTGAACATGAAGGATCATGGCTGCATACTAATGTTTTCTCTCATTCAAGGCATTACAAAGAAACAAAATAAAATGAGGTGTTGTCTCTTGGGATATGACACTATGTAGGGGGCTGAAAGTCGTGACATTTCAGAGGAACATATTGACTCCATCTTTAGGGTCAGAGAGTATGCCAAGCAAGCAAACAACAAGCACAGCCAACAAACAAATTAAACTTTGCAAATCACGAAACCTGACTGCCCAAGGACAGCCATCAGTCCCAAAGGCTCAGGTATGAGAAGTCCTGATCCGGTTTTGCTTATCCATATGCCCTCCCTTCTGTCACCTCTGGCAAAGTAAAAAAATGTTTGAATGTGAAATATATGAAGCCATCACTGTGGTCTGAATGCCACATTAGGCTATACTGACAGCCATTACACTTATGTTAATCATACTCCAAGCATTCCCTCTTTGATTTAACTCACTTTGTCAGAATCTTACATTGTTCTTAATGAAAGCCATTAACCATCAGAAATGGAAGTCAGGGTTAGAGACTGCCATCTAGCTAATCAGGAAGCATTAATTCCCAGGGCACGCGAAAGAGACTGGATAGTGCCGTAAATAACAGACTAGAGACAGGGTGATGAGACATAGAACGTTTATCAGTCATGAATAAATCACACTCAGACTGAGTATCAGTTCGCTGTTACTATATGTTTATTTAGATAATTGAGGAGCACTGTGCTGTATTAATTGTGTGACATCTTTAACTGATGTACATATTGCAAAACAGGTTATATTTAATTCAAACTGTATTAATTTATTGGGAATAGAAGCTAATAGCTGTGTAAGACTCCACTCGTGGTGACTGATGTAGTCCACAAATGTTAGATGATCCTTCAGACTGAAATTATGTATTACAGTATGTAGAGCCTGTGACAGTCTGAAATAATACCACATATCAAACATATATCTGTCTGGTTCATATCCAGTGTCACATGTGATTTAGTATAGTTTATGGAGAAAGCATAGTATACATAGTATAGTTTATATGCAGAATTTTTGTAAGACTTTGCATCTTGAAAGACAAGGGGTGGCATGGGACCAAAGGATGTTACCTCAATTTCAGCGTGGTGCACCCTTCCCTCTGTTTGTTTGGTCTCCTTCAATTCAACGATTAGTTTGAATAGAAAGCAAGGCATTCAAAATTAGAGCAGATTGTAGTCTGCATCCTGCTTCTAATACATGGAAATAATACCTTCTGATTTGGCTGACTTCTAATATTTCTGAAATTTATTTCAAAACAAGTACAGAGTGTTCATTCTATAAGAGGTAAACTCAACTTGGATTAAAATGAAGAAAGGGACCACTCAGAAGAGCAGATATGCTATTACTGTGGGCAACAAGCGTCTGCCTTAACATCAGAAATGTGAAGAAACATTTGGAGTGTAGGGACTTACATGTAACTTCTAATAAAGTCCATGTGAATAGAGGAGGAGTGCCAGAGAAGAAACATGGAGCTTATGGAATTATGACTAGAAGAAAGACTCTCTGACAAAGATGTATGTCACACAGAACATGCTGTTATCATTCGGCAGCCTAAACACAAGTATCATTCATTTTACCCTTCACCCNTTGTTAATGAACAGAGACTAAGTCCTGGTGCCTTATTTATTTGTCTTGTTTTTAAATATTACAAGTGCTTCAATGCAAATGTCTAACAATAAGTAACAACAAAATTAAAATTATTTCATAAACATTAATTCCTGAAAATAAACTATATACCGTATTTACGCATGTATAGGNGCTAGGCCGCACATTTTTTGCCAAAAATTCAAGAGGAAAACTGGGGTGCGGCTTATATTCGAAATATTCGAAATCACACTTCATTTTAAAAAAATTATATTCATAATTAGTAATACAGGATGTTCTACTCCTGAAATAATATTCCAAGAAAATTCTTTTTTCTATAATTTCTGTCTGAAAATTGTGCTGCGGCCTATACACGCACGCGGCCTATACATGCATAAATACGGTATATATTTATATATATGTTCATCAATACAGAATAAAGAAACCCACTATATTGGAAAGCTTGTATAAAACAACTATCTACAATACTGTCACAGTCTCACAAATCACAGTTCTGTAAAGAAATGTTATTGTACTCATTAATATTGCAACATCTATACAAAACTTGTTTTGTATTTAAGAATATATGCATGTATGTGTTAATTATTATAAAATGAAAAATTCAATTCCTTAAAGATCAAATTCACATAAATCTAATACTACTTTCTTGTTTTCTTTTCCTATGGAGGTGAATAGTAATGGTCACCATCTGAATCCACGACTACTATGTGGATGAGAGGGGCAAATTAACAGCTGCAGGTGACAGGCAAGAGCTAGTATGGGGAAGACATGCCAAGTTATGTAACAGTGTAATTTTTACCACCTCTTCTGTCTTCAGGTAATACAGTGACATATCCTTCACATATGGAATGTCATGTAATTTAACAACAGCTCTAACAATACCACAACTGAGAGAGAACAGTACAAGTTCTTGTGGCACATCTAAAGGAGGGCAGTTGAGAATGTTCCGTTCATTCTCTACTGACCGGTGGGGGTGATGTTAGAGAAAGACTGATTATAAATAATTTCAAACCAATATGGAAACAGTGTTTTCCTACTGAGGAAGGAAATAACAAATTCATACTTACCACTTACTTGCCACTTATATGAATATGACCACTTGACATTTTAATAAGATAGAAATATTGTATATGTGTAAAGTGCATTTTGGTGTCAGAATCACTGGGTTCTTGGACTTTGTCCATTGTCCTCTATTCTAGAAACCAGAAAACGAAACATTGTATTTTCTACTTTCTAGAATACCAGACAATGGACAAAGTCCAAAAACCCAGTGATTCTGAGTGTTGTACACCATCATCAGAGCCATTTAGAATCTACTTGTATTTTGGGGCTTCAGTAAATTTCAGTCTTCTAGAATGTGATGCCATGTTGTTTGGTAGACTGTTCTCTACTTTTGGACATATCTGGTGGCTACACTTTCAGATTAAGAGAACCTGGCAGCAGCAACTTCCTTTGAAATGCTGGAAACTATCTACCACATTACATGGCATCACCTCCCAGAAGACAGTAATTTCTGAAGTCTCCGCCTCATAGGCAACAGACAAAAAAAGTGAACTTCATGAATTGTTCCCTTCACAACAATATGCCTCTGTGAAATAAGATCAAAAATTCCACACTCTGACATGGCTGTTCATTCAAAAAGTCTTTGCCGCACACAGTCGCCGTGTAAGCTTCAAATCATATGACTTTCACACCTTACCTTCTGCGCTTAGTACCGTGGGCTTCCAGAGCATGTGGCTGGCCAAGAGGAATACCCAAAAGACCTCCAAATCCATCCACATCACCCAAACCATCAGGGGTCATAGAAAGCTCCATTGTTAGCTGAGAACATAAAAAGTAACACCTAAATTAAGAACAGGGAAAGTAGCGGAAGACAATTGTTTTTGCAGATGTTCTTGCTTTCATTCTTAATCATACTGTGTTAGAGCCATAGCTTACATGCATCAAATGACACAGTGGCTATGACTCATGAATTAAGGACATGAAAACAAAGGTAATGGCCCTAGCAACACAGGAAAAACAAAGAAACTCAATCATGTTAGCAGCTTCCTGGGCCACCTATTCAAACCACGTAATACACACACAAATAAGAAAATACAGCCACAAAAAAATTATGATTTTACATAAAGGTATGTGATATTTAAGTAGACAGTGTCAACAAAACTAAACCAGTATAATCAATGTCATGGAGGCATACTGTCACACTCCTTCAGCACTTTAACCAATTATTTCTGTGGCTGGCAATCATTAACAAAACTGCACTGGATAAATGTGACTATAATTTTACAACAGAGACACCAATTACTTCTGGAATTTAAATTAATTTATGTTTGCGTTAGTAACAACAACAACAAAAAATTAATAAAGGTTAGGAAGCTCAGCTAGATTACAACAGTTATTTTGGGGTTACTAACTGCACTCAAAACCTGAATTCAGGGACAGTTATAGGAGGTTACTCTGTTGTATAGATGTTCCAAAATATGTCCACAGAGTCCCCATCAACCCTTCACGGAACACTGAGGCTCCACAGCAAGCTGACGATACTGAACTTAAATACTATAACTCACTATTTGTCTGCTGTTTCTAACATCTTTTAAATTATTGTTTTGGTGACATCAGTACCTGTATTCTTGCACACTACTACAGCTTCCATTTAAGTACTTTAGTAGAGAAAGCATGTGGCAGTAACTGCAATAAGGCACTGTACCAATATCTGTATGTCTGAGTGTTCCAGATGGTGAAATCATGTGTCATCTTTCCATCATATAAGCCCTGCTGCCCATACAATAGGATGCAAGACTTTCAGCACTTTCAACGGGCCGGATAAAATGAGAAATTAATAACTCTAGGTATATGAGTTTTATTGAAAGCACAGAATTTCATAAACTAAATACAAAGTACGTGAGAATAAATTATCGTATATTAATGACTATTAATGACTACAGAAAGTAGCAGCAAATGTTCATATTTTCATCACAAATTATAATAAAACAATTAATGTGAATGATGGAACTCTTTTTGCATTCTTAAAATCTGATTAAATTGAGGTTCAAATTTTGAAACGCTAATCACAAGTAGCGACTTTAAATGCTCATCAGATAAATTTGCCCTGTATTTTGACTTGATGTACTTCATCTGGGAAAAAGTTTGTTCACCCAGATATGTCGTTCCAAAAATGGAGATAAATTTACAAGCAAATTTCTTTAAATTTTGAAATTGCTCAGAGTTCAGAAATTTATAACATTCGATCAAATTTCCTTCCTTGTATTTGTCTTTAATATGATAATTTTCCCGAAGTACAATAATTTCCATTTGAATTTGACTTGGGACATCTGCAGCATCACAGTCAAACGGATTTTGAAACAATCTAATTTCCTGAGCACTGGAATCCAAATCAG